CAGGTTCCCCTGCTGTCAGTCCAAAGTCAGTGACTTCCCACTAGCTCAGGTCAGCTGTTTCTGTGGGTTTTCCCATCATGGTCTTGACCCCACTGCTCATATTATTGCTTCTCGCTCTCTTGGACTGATCTCCAGTAGCTCAACCCAGTGCTTTGCCGTAGATCTCTGTATCTGCTTCCATCAGTTGCTGGTTGAAGGGTCTAGGAAGACAATTAAGGTAGGCATGCATCTGATTGATGGGAAAGGCCAGTTTAGGTGTGCTCTCCACTGTTGCTTAGAATCTTAGCTGGGGTTACCCCTGTGCATTCCTGGGAATTTCACTGGTGCCAGGTTTCACACTAGTCCCCTAAGACTCCCACAATCAAGATATCTCTTTCATTGCTCTCCCTCTCTGTTCTTCCCCCATCAATAGCATACTGTTACCTCATGTTCTTTTCTTTCCTCCCCCACCCCCACACTCCCAATTTTCTCAGTAGATCTTGTCTAATTCCCCTTCCCAGGGGGGATCCATGTATGTCTCTTTTAGGGTTATCCTTGTCCCCAGCTTCTCTGGGGTTGAGGACTATGGGCTGGTTATCCTTTTCTTTGCATCTAATATCCACTTTTGAGTGAGTACATAATCATGTTTGTCTTTCTGGGTCTAGGTTACCTCACTTAAGATGGTTTTTCTTCTAGTTTCATCTATTCGCATACAAATTTCAACAAGTCATTGTTTGATTGTTTTTTAACCATGGAGTAGTATTACATTGTGTAAATGTACCACATTTTCTTTATCCATTCTTTAGTAGAAGGGCGTGTAGGTTATTTCCAGCTTCTGGTTATTACGAATAATGCTGCTATGAACATAGTTGAGCAAATGTACATGTGGTATGGGTCTGCATCTTTTGGGCATATGCCCAGAAGTGGTATTGCTGGGTCTTTTTTTGTTACAAGTAAACCAGAGACTTTATTAGACTTTATCATCTTCCCCCCATGAATGTTCTTTTTTTGTTCCCACATTGTACTTGGCTTTTCACTTGCTATATTTTCAGAGCAAACACAAAGAGTCAGGACAGACCTGGCTGGGTGAGCTTTCCCATGCAGTAGGTCTGGAGTTACTTTATTTTTCTGCTCTGCTCCCAAACTGCACATAGCAACTCCTGGGGAGCCCATGAAGTCCCCTCTGCCACTACAGGATACCACCATCCCTGGATGACAGTCCCCCCCCACAAGTACATCAGTACAATGCTGGCTCAGGCAGGCTACAGTTTGCTCATTTTGCAATGGGCATGCTGATCCCTGATCCACTGTTCTCATTCCTGTAGCACTCTGTGCCTCAGTTTCCTTCACAATTACATGAAAGGGAAATCGCATCTGGCTCCAAAAAAAAAAATGCTAAGATTTAGTGCATTGGAGATTTTTATTGTTTTTATTGAGCTATACATTTCCCCATTCCCCTCCTTTCCTCACTCTCCCCTTCTCTCTCTCTCATACCCCCACACTCCCAATTTACTCAGGAGATCTTGTCTTTTTCTCCTTTCTGTGTAGATCCAAGTATGTCTCTCTTAGGGTCCTCTTTGTTATATAGATTCTCTGGAGTCATGGACTGCAAGCTGATTTTACTTTGCTTTATGTCTAAAAGCCACTTATGAGTGAGGAGATATATTTGTCTTTCTGGGTCTGGGTTACTTCACTCAGTATGGTTTTTTCCTAGATCCATCCATTTACCTGCAAATTCCAAGATGTCATTATTTTTACATCTGTGTAGTACTCCATTGTATAAATGTACCACAGTTTCTTTATCCATTCTTCAGTTGAGGAGCATCTAGGTTGTTTTCAGGTTCTTGCTATTACAAAGAATGCTGCTATAATCACAGTTAAGCACATGTCCTTGTGGCAGGATTGAGCTTCCTTTGGGTATATACCCAAAAGTGGTATTGCTGGGTATTCAGAAAGGTTGTTTCCTAATTTTCTGAGAAATCACCATACTGATATCCAAAGGGGTTGTACAAGTTTGTATTCCCACCAGCAATGGAGGAATGTTCCCCTTACTCCACATCCTCTCTAGCATAAGCTGTCATCAGTGTTTTTGTTTTTGGCCATTCTGACAGGTGTAAGATGGAATCTCAGAGTTGTTTTGATTTGTATTTCCATGATGGTTAAGGATGTTTAGCATTTCCTTAGGTGTCTTTCAGTGATTTGAGATTCTTCTGTTGAGATTTCTCTGTCTAGAACTGTACTCCATTTTTTATTGGATTATTTGTTCTTTTGATGTTAAATTTTTTGGGTTCTTTGTATATGTTGGAGATCAGCCCTCTGTCTGATGTGGGATTAGTGAAGATCTTTTCCCATTCTGTAGGCTACTATTTTGTCTTGTTGACCTTGTTCTTTGCTTTACAGAAGCTTCTCAGTTTCAGAAAGTCCCATTTATTAATTGTTACTCTCAGTGTCTGTGTTACTGGGGTTATATTTAGAAAATGGTGTCCTGTGCCAGTGCATTCAAGTGTACTTCCCACTTTCTCTTCTGTGAGGTTCAGTGTGGTTGGTGTTATATTGAGGTCTTTGGTCCATTTGGACTTGAGCTTTGTGCGTGGAGCTAATAGATATGACTCTATTAGCATTCTTCTATGTGTTGATATCCAGTTATGTCAGCACCATTTGTTGAATATGCCTCCTTTTTCTATTTTATAATTTTAGCTTCTTTGTCAAAAATTAAATATTGTAGTTGTGTGAATTGATATCCATGTCTTTGATTCTACTCCATTGGTCCTTCTGTCTGTTTTTATGCCAATACATGGCTGTTTTCATTACTTTCACTCTATAAGAGAGTTTAAAGTCAGAAATGGTGATGCCTCCAGAAGTTCCTTTATTGTACAGGATTGTTTTGAGTATCCTGGGTTTTTTCTTTTTCCATATGAAGTTGAGTATTGTTCTTTCAAGGTCTGTAAAGAATTGTGCTGGGATTTTTATGGTAAATTGTTTTTGGTAAGATTCATAATGCACATATTTTTAATCTTTAAAAAAGCATAGTTACAACTACATAAAGCATTACTTAATGAAAATGCCAGTGACTCATTCAAGTCCTATTTCCATCAGTCTTTCCTTTCAAATGAAAACCACCAGTCACAAAGGAGGCCCTCTTAGTAACTGCTTGAATAGAAAGTCCACATTATACGCTTGACTTTGTCATCATTTTCATGATTCTGCATTCTGAAGAAACAAACAAAATTATCACAAAAACAGACATACAATGCTTTAAAACACAAAAACTGCTTGGTATTTCTACTCCACATCACTGACCTTGTATTCTTCAAATGGGCTGTGTATCTGCATTTTAAAAAAAAAGAACAAAAGCTAATATCTTAGGAATTGAGTTGTAAAGTAAAATAATCAGAGCAGGTATTTGACTCATTAAGCATCTTTGAATCTTTGACAGCCTTTTAGTCTTTATCTGTGAAAAGGGAACTAACTGCAGTTTTAATTTGTCTTCCTCAATCATCTTGAGGGCAAAAAGAAAAATCTTTCTTTTTGACTGTGAGAGCTAATAACCAAAACAAGATGTAGTTAATTAGCCTCTTTCACAAGGCTCCTCAAAGTGATTAGCAGTGTGTTAACAGTTAGGAAAGCCATGGAGCCGGGCAGTGTGAGAATACATAAACTAGGCTGGTTAATAAAACTCTGATAATACACCCATTTTTATTCTCTTTGCTTATCTGCTCACCTGCTTCCTTTGCTTTGCATAACTGCCATCTTGAATCTCTAAGTTATCACAGCCTTGATTTTTTTCTAACTGTAATTTTATCCACTCATATGTATTCTTAAAATAAATATTAAATTATCATGATTATTTTTACATGGACAAAACAAATTCATACTGCAGGTTTGGGGGGAATGGTATTTTCCCAAATAGCCTACATGTCTCTGCTATGAATATTCCAATCATTTAAGTATTACACAATTTATTTACTCATGGTTTTATAAAGAGCATTTGGAGTCTTTCTAAGTTTTGTCATTATGAACAGTGTTCTTAACCATATCTCCTCGTGTACTTGTGGAGAAGTTGTTTAGAAATGTGCTTAGGTCTTAATAAAAATGTTTAACTATAATGAAATATTACCAAATTGTTTTCTAAAGTAAATACATCAGTGTTGCATTCTTATTCTCCATATGGTCTTCAACATTTGTCATCACCATTTTTTGACAATTGAAGTTAGTTATTACAAGCCCCTGTGGTCTTTTACTTCCCGTGGTATATTTTTTGTTCTTGTGGTATTATGGTTTGGATATGTAGTGTCTCCTACCAATTTTTATGTTAATGACCTGGTTGCCAGTTGGTGGGCTTTGGAGAAGTGATTGACTTCTGAGAGTTCTGACCTAATCAATAGATAATCCCTTGATGAATTCATAATATGACAATATTATTGAAAGGCGTATATATGATGGTTATATTTTATCCTCTCGCATGCCCTTCTGTTTCCTGGCTGTCAAAATAAACTCTTCTATTTCTTCTCCATGTTAATGGATCAAAAACTCTGAAATCATGAACTGAAATAAACAGCTTCTCTATCAATTATTTTTCTCTAGAAATGTCTTCACAAACATAACTAGTGTGCACTTTCCTAATCTTCTAGGCACTTCTCAATCTAATCAAGCTGACAATTAAGATTAATCAGCCCATGAAGTTTTATTGGGAAAGATGGCTAAGAAAGCCCAGACCTGGTAAAGATCTTAAAGACTGCTTCTAAAAACATGGGAAAGAGATGGGCAGAAGGTCATAAAATGTTTTACAAATATGTCTTACACATACCTACTTTCCAGACTCAGACTCACTGCATCTTCTCAAAGATGCAGCTGACCCAAGGGTGATCATTTTTAAGTGTACCCTGAGCCCTTTGGGAAAAAAATGTAGTACAGACTCACCATGCCCCTGTTACCAGATCCTGTGGCAATATTACACAAGTGTGGTGGCCCCCCTCTCAGAAAAGTATGAGGACCTCATGTGAGATTGCGTTTTCTTCTAGGATACGGCATTGGACTCCCTCCCAACTCTCCCCTGACGTCTAATATATCTGAGCTCATCAGTCAATACAAGTCTCACGGATTCATGGACGTGCTACACGACAAGTGGTACAAGGTGGTTCCCTGCGGGAAAAGAAGCTTTGCCGTCACTGAGGTATGGCGAGGATGCTGCTGATGCTGATGCTTTGTATAGCTTTCCTTTGAAAACTATAAGGACTTTAAGTTAGTTGTGCCTCCTGCTCGATAATGTACCAGGATACGCCATGACATGTAGAGCACCTAGATTTGCTTGAAAACTGTCCATTCCTACAGTAATGTTCAATGAGACGTGTTTGTTTTCTATTCAAGTGTGATTTTATTCCAATGGATAAAAATCAAAATTCTACTTCTATTCCACAAACTATACTAAAAAAAATCGTAAATACAGAAGAAATATTTCTAGATGGTATTGGGAATATCTGGGACTAATGTGAATAGTGTTTGCCTTACCCATGAATTGCAGGGTCTGATGTAGATTTCACAACATCCCTTAAAAATCTAACTCAGAACATTGCTAAGTCCCCAGTGGTGAAAGTTGAGTAACAAGACCTTTGTTGGTTTAAAAATCTAGACATACCTTAACTAATAATTGTCAGATTATAGTATGGTAATTCTTCAAAACTGAAAACAACTAGTACTTCTTTTATAGTTGAAGAACTAAGAGCAAGAGCTTCTGGGCCAAGGCACACAAATAGTCAAAGTTTCTTCTTTCTATTGAAATGCTATGTCTTTACAGTGTAATTAAAAAGAAGTTTGCAAAGTAAGACACAATTCGGGTGATTAAAATAGGAGACTGGAAACTGTAACCAGTGCCACAGTCCAAATACTCTAAAGAGCCAAATAAACAAGTCCAAGGCCATCCTGACATTAAAGAGAAGAGAAGAAAACACAGCTCAAGCCAATATGTTCAAATAGCCTCTATTTGGCAATAATTCCCAACAGAGTGCATCTCTGCCTTCCTGTATGACATCTGCTCTTGAATACCCTGCAGGCATCTGAAATTTCACTTGTCACAACCCAAGCCTTAATGCTCCCTCTTCCCTCTGCTTTTCCTCCTGGGCTTTGCATCTTGGTGGTGATACAGCTGTGCACGTAGTCATTCATTCCACCTATTGGCATGGATGCTGACTACTGCTCATGTCCACCTTTTCCATCTAGCAACAAGCCACAGCTTCTATAAAGTAGCTCTCAAATATGCCAATCTCTTGCCAACTCTGGTGTCATCACTCTGCCCACGCTGCCGTCCCTTACGTCGCTCACTAAAGATGCCTGCTAGCGGGTTTGCTTTGCACCTACCTCCATTCAGTTGTCTTCCACACAGCAATTCATTCTTCTGTTTGACAGTCATGCTCTCTGGACCAAAATCTGAAATGCTGGCATGCCCTGTGGTGCCTGCCCTTGCTCTTTTCTCAGCCCTTCCTCACGCCACTTTCTGGTTCATCATGGCTGTGCCACGATGCTCATTTTAGAAGAAAAATAAATCCATGGCTTCCCTGACTTGCATTCCCCAAACCTGCTGTTGCTTCTTCCCCCTCCCTCAAGTGTTCTTCCCCACTGACATTTGCTCAGCTAATGCCTTCATATTACAAGATCCCAGCTAAGGGATTGCAGATGTACTTCAATGATACGGTACCTGCCTAGCATGTTCAAGGCCTTTGGTTTTATCCCAATGTTACAAAAAAATAAACGGAAGATCCAACCCACAGCTCTAACAACTCCCAGAGAATAAACTCGCAGCTAGCATCTCTCTTTTCCAACAGAGACTGACAAACACAAATCATACCTCCCTTTAGTATCTCATGTATCTCATATCATTTAATAGAGCTCAATCATTACTATGACTGCTTTAAATAAATATTCTGCTTTAAACATAATTATAATAAGAGTATTTCTAATGCATCTCTTCATTAAACTTAACAGCTCTAGGGGCAAAGAATGTCTTACATTTTCAGTGCCTTCAAATAGATATTTTATTTGGGGGTCAAGTAAACAAACCATAGAAGCTAAATTAGCATACCTGAAAAAGAAATAAGGGTCAGTAGGAACTCATAGAGAATGACGGCATGCACAGGACTTGCACAGCTTCGAGCCAGACGGGGTCCCAGTCCTGAGAGTGGCGAACAGAGACAAGCTCTCATCCTTAACCAAAAAGTTATCTCCAATCGATAATAGCTTTTAAAGAAAAAATATTTCTCTCCAAGTATTTTTTCCACTGGGTATATAAACCACACTTAAGGATACACCCCATGCACAACATTAGATGATCAAAACACACACACACACACACACAGAGAGAGAGAGAGAGAGAGAGAGAGAGAGAGAGAGAGAGAGAGAGAGAGAGAGAGATCAATGATAATTTTGTAGACATTTTGTCTCATAGTGCTTTGTTTGGGTACTTTTTTATCTTACTGGTCTTTTGCTTGTGTGTTAAAGTTTCCATACCAAACCCCACATCTATCAGATTTTCTAGGAGCCATGATGAAAATAAATACAAGTTGAACTAAAGTCAAACATAAGAGTACATACCTGTAACACCGAGGTGAAGATACTGAGGCAAGAAGCAAGTTCAAGACCAGTTTAGGCTACACAGCAAGACTTTGCCTGGAGTCAGGGGATAGAAGAGGGGCCAACATTGGGAAACTTTATAATCAGAAAAAGAAAGTCTGACTTTAAATTTTTAAAATAATTCCTCTTCAAAACTGGCAGTATCAGATTTATCAGTGTTTTTGAAATGAAAACCTATCTCTTGTCTGAGTAATTGATGGCATTTTATCTCTATTAGTGAGTATTGTGCTGCTTTTCCTAAAGGAAATAAGCCTGGGCTTATATCAGTCAGCGAGTTCAGCCAGGAAAGAAAGGAAGTCAGTTGCTTAACATTGAGCTAAATAACAATCACTTGGAGTTCTCTGCAGTGTCTGTCGATGACTTAAATCAAAATCTCCAAATGATTAAAATTTGACAGGAAGGCATTAGCCACAAGGAAACTCTCAGCCATATTCTCCAACCAGCATTACTAAATAAATATCACATCCTGGCCACATGTACACATCCAGGCTACTGCCATTTCAGAGGGTCATCAGACAAACCAAGCCTCTTGCCACACATGGCTTTGCAGACTTAGAACCTAGCCCCACTTGAGTACAGTTTTGAAGACTGAGTCAGATAAGTACTCAAAAATCCTCTGCCAAATACATTCTGCTGTGAATGCACCTAGCATAAAGCGTGATGTATTTGAAACTATGCATGTCTGAGCTTGAATGCCGATTCTGTCAAGGAGAGATGATTAGCTACTCTTGCGTCTCCGTCCAGGAAAGAGTGTAATAAAATGTGCCATTTCTTCCCTAAGAATAAAAGATCATTTGTGGAAGCATCTAGAAAAAAAAAAAACTGGTACAGTACCTAGTAAATAACAGAAATACTATTTCTTCTCCCTCAAGTCAGAGGGAACATCCAACTATTCATAGAAAAATGTATAGAGAGACCCACAACTAAATCTCTTTGTGGTTTGTTGCTAAAAATTGTGTCTGCCTGTGTTTAAAATAATCACTGGTGAGATAATGTGATCACCGTAGTGTATTAGGCCAATAAGAAATCAGGGACCAGGAACGATGCAAACTACCTTATGAAACGTAGAGAAGGGTGAAGTGTGGTAAGGGGCCTGCTTGTTTATTCCCAACTGCTCAACCCTGAAATAACCACACAGAAACTGTATTAATTGAATCATTGCTTGGCCCATTAGCTCTAGCTTCTTGGCTAACTCTTACATCTGAATTTAACCCATTTCTAGTAATCTGTGTATCGCCACGTGACTGTGCCTCACCAGGTAAAGTTCCGGCCTCTGTCTCCAGTGGGGTTACATAGCTTCCTTTGACTCGGCTTTCTTTCTACCAACATTCAGTTTAGTTTTCCCTGCCTAGCTAAGTTTTGCCTTGTTGTAGGTCCAAAGCAATTTCTTTATTAACCAATGGTAATCACAGCATACAGAGGAGGCAACAGAATGAATATACAAAAGCCAACAGACTCCTCTGTGCACATCCTGGAGATTCTAGAAAGTTACCATTTCCATCTGTACAGACTCTGCCAAAGTGACCCGAGCATCACTTAAAATCCTCCTGAAATACAAATGTCCAGTATTCTGTATGGTGTACATAGTAGAAAGCATCATCTATAGAGTCATCCAAGATTTGAACCCCAGTTTTACCAGCTGGGAAATACAGGGCCTGATCCTTCACCACTCTAAGCCTCCTCTTCTGCAAACTGACTAAAAGTAACACATACTTCATAGATTATAGTAAAACCAAATCAACTGAGGCCTCTAAATTCTGAGCAGAGGTTAGAGAGAGGGTTTGGGAGTTAATATCACTTGCTAGTTTTCCAGAGGAGCTGGTCTCAGTTCCCAGTACCCACATGCTGTCTTTTAACCATCTTACTCCAATCCCAGGGAATCTGATGCTCTCTCTCTTCCGACCCCAAAAGATACCAGACACACATGTAATGCACAGATATACATGCAGGTAAAACACTCAAATGCATAAGGCAAATATATCTAAAAAGAAAATGAAAAATACTGAGAGTGTATCCAGATATAATAATAAAGGTTATGAGTTTTTACCATAAGTGTTTCATAGATATAGAGATTTATCAGGATTTTCAAATGAAGTCAAAGTAATAGTATATAAGAATACAGACTTCAAAAATAAGAATAAACATCTATACATAAATAGATGTAAAATACACCAACATTTCAAAAATACTTTAATTTTTTCTATACTTCTTTGTTTACTTTGTTGCATGCATGAGTTTGCATGCATGGACCCTCATCATGAATGGCAGGGTGGGTGTGTAGAGGTCAAAGAACAACTTGCTAGGCCTGTTCTCTTGCCCCACCATACAGGTTCCAGTGATAGAACAGGTAGTCAGCCTTGACAACAGCACTTTTTACCTCCTGAGTCATTTCAGCAGCCCTTAATCAAGATTCTTAGCAAACCAGATTGGGAGAGAGGTCTTTAGAAATCTTTGGTATAGTCAGCTGGACGTGTTGGCATAGAGGCCTGTCTCAGATCAAGTTGTGTTTGTTAAGAGAACCTGGACTCACTTCCCAGATTGACTGAATTT